ACAGTTGTTTTGGTCATATAGTGGCTGTGGTGCTTAATTCATTCTTCATGTAAATGTATCATGTAGCTGACTGATACATAGTTTCTCTTTATCAGCCTTACATGGTTTCATCTACAGTATTTTTTCCTCTCTAATCTCATTCTAGATTTGAACATGATATCTGATTTCTCAGGGTTTTCTTCTCTAATGATTCCTGTAGTTACACACCAGTCCAGCTCCAGCTGCACACAGTATGTGGTTGTGATGATGAAGACTGTGATGAATCTGGGTCATGGACTTTGCCGGGGTAGTCATGTCTCGCCTGATGCAATGACTTCATGACGTAGCTGCCATCCCTTCCCCATATTCCTGTGTGCATTTGTATACGTGCAGCAACCGTGTCACTGATGTAGCTTCTCACAAAGGCAACGTGATGCTTTGGTAGTAGCGCAGTAGCGCAGACAGGGAGACGAAGGAGGAGGAGGAGAGATGGAGAAGGAGAGCAGAGCAAGGGAAGGGATGCTGATAAAGAAGGGAGAGCAGGGAAGGAGGTTGAAGGACCACCCTTATCGAGCATAGCCGTTCTCAGGGAACCTACCAAAGGGACCTTCCCACACACACACCATGGTCGACTAGCCAATCAGAGCGCTCGCATCCTTGACCCATCCTCCCTCATACAACTGCTCATGCATGGCTCAGCGATGCTGATGTGAGGTGATACGATAGGAAGCGAGGCTACAAACCTTCTTGGACAGAAAACTGAATCTCGCTGCGTTTTTAAAACACAGGGAGGGGACATACTGGTTAACAATAGCAGTGAGGAATCGTAGATAAAACTGTGGACGTCCTTACGGTTTTTAAAAAGGACTTACAGATTGTCTGTATCACCTTTCTTTGCAACTTTCCCTGTCTGAGGGGGTGATATTATTTTTCTTGACTGAATTTGAGTGTGCTGTATGAAGGAGGAGGACCAGGGGGATTTTTTTTTTGTGGCTTGGAGCTGATGATAAACGATGCCGGACAAGTGAGAATCTGACAACAAAACGGCGGGACAGTGATTGAAGAGAGGCCATGAGAGCCAGAAGAGAGGCCAGGATGGTGTCTGCCTGTTCACCATGCACAAACATAAGGTCAGGTCTGATTTCTCTTACTCGTTACTTTAATTCAGCTGTTTTACCTTCTCATCTTGTCATCCCAAGTTTGGTGAGTCAACATATTAGCTGACATGCAGACGGGATGAGGTGCATGAGATAAATAGGAATTAAATCTTATCAAATCCATAACCTGTATTTCAAAGTTAAAGACCTAATGACAGTCTTGTATCCAAAAGTAGAAGTCACATATCTTCAAGATTATCTTTTTACTAGCACGTGCTACTATAATCGATTACACATCAGACTACTGGTTATCCGATTTTCTCCTGGTAATAATGATGTTTCTACTGACCACATCAAATGACGACCCTGTCGTTGTCTGCAGCTGTAGCCTTTTTTGTTTTCCTCTCGTATTTTGTCCCCAGCAGGCTTTTTAATGCCAATCTTTTTTTTTCTTAAATTGCTTTAAGGCTTTTAATATTTTAAGATTTAAAGATTCAGGGTGTAGGATGTAGTGGTCTCTAGTGTTGAAAGTTCAGATTGCAACTAGCTGAGTACCTTCAATCTGCAAGGAGAAACTGCGGAGGATGTCGGTAACCCTACAACATGTAACGTAAAAACAGAGCCACTTATTTGGCCTTTCTGGGATTGTAGTGGATTCAATGGAAGTCTAAGGCAAATAATGTACAATTGTACAATTGTTAGTTTAAGGTGATACTACTAATGAAATAAATGAATGATATTATATTATATTACATTTCTGCCATTGATCCCATAAATCATTTACAATGGATCGTTAAATCCTAAAATAAATCACTGTATGTCAGTATTGCTGCAATACGCCTTACACACA